TTTTATAATGATACCGTTGAAACACTTAATGCCAATGGTGTTTCGTCTCGATAATGTAGATTTCGTTCTTGTAAAATAAAATTATTTTTTGTCAATGTTGAACCTTCGTGACTGCAACATACGGTGTGTCAAAAGACGTTTATTCCCTTAGCACCGTTATTACGGTATACACTTCTGACTCCCTCGGCAATTGACAAGATTATAAAAATATGTGAATCAAGTACATTGCGATATTTCTTATTTTTATAAAGAAAGAAATTTGAAAAAAAAATGTTTTTATTCAAAAATTTATAAAATATGACAAAATTATCAAGATATGAAAACCAAATACAATTCAAATTTTATTATTTACCATTTTATAAATAAGTATGAATACAAGCATTTTATTCACTCTAATAAATAAATAGTATTTAATATCTTTCTTGACGATTATTAAGAATAAAGAAAATGTATAATACCATTTTCATATGTTTGGGTTTTATTAAAATTCGCTTTTTGAAACAATAAATATTGCCGAGGGAATGAAAAGTGCATACAGACACTGTTTTTTTTTTTTTTCTTTTAGAGGGGGGTGCTTTTTCTCTGCTGAAAGTTTTATGGGTGAGGCATTTTAAAGTAAAAAAAAAAATATTGGAAAATATCTGATCTATTTACGATATAGATATAATTGGTTTGGTTTGGTTTGTTTTATGTCATATGAACACCTCAATGGGTTATTTAATGCCGACAATTTTTATTGCTGGTAATATTTTTCCTTCAAAAATGTATAGATGGTAATATCTTTTTTTCTTCAAAAATGTATTGCTGGTAATAATTTTTTTACAAAGCATTTCTAGTACTAAAACCTATTTTTAAACTTACATAGTGTTTTGACCCCAGTTTTGGTGGGGGGTAACTATTTGCCCATAGCTGGGACCCTAACAGGTGCTACCACTCCGGGTCAGGGTGGACCTGGGAACGCCAGCAATTAAGTGGTGGTTCCACGCTCCTCAGAAACCTCCTGATCAGAGGCCTTGCTGTTGGATGTAGTTTATCATCTTACCCAGGACGAGGATGTAGTTTATCGCATCCCTGATGCACAGGTTTTTGTGGTTTTGATCTGATGCGCAGGCAGGCAAAAACAAAAAAAAATGCCAAAATGAAGCGAAGTGATTTCCTTATTAATGCGATTTACACAGCGCGGCATAGATGCAAACCAGTCGAAATGGGGCGGGGAAGATTAAATTGCTGATGACCAGGAATCGATATATTAGCAATTGAACTCAGGCATTGATTTCCAGTGAACCTAATTAACATGTGATGCGCATTTTGAAGACAGCTCTAAAAACGAAACTATTATTCGTATCTAGTTTATTCATTTGATTTTATGCTTACAAATGATTACATGGAAGCGTAGGCACACTGTGTTAATCTGCACACACAAACACACAAGCACACATACAAGTACACAGAGGCAACGATGGAATTTAATGTATGGAAATGTTGATATTTACTGAAATATATAGGGTCTGTAGAACGTCAAACAAGGATCGATCTCAGTAGCTGTGTTTTGTGAAACTAGCCAGGGAAATATCGCTGTAAGGCAATCTTTTCGACGACTACATGTAGGTATGAATAGTAGAGGAACAACAGATTGTGCGTAATCAATCACTCATAAGTGTATATATATATATATATATATATATATATATATATATGTTACAAAATCACTACAAAAATAGCCATTTAGTTTCATCACTCCTGGTGTCTTATCAAGTGTCGTATGACCATCACTTTATAAGACACCAAAGGTGTTGAAAGAAAATGGCTATAGTGATTTTATAACATATTTATGTTATAAATTTCGAATAAATTTATATATATATATATATATATATATATATATATATATATATATATATATATGGTTTGTTTTATGTCAGTTTGTGACCCTGGGTTTCATGCTTTTGCGATCGTCAGACAAACTGTTTAATATTTTTTAATTTTGGGTTTATGTAGATTGCGTGTATTGGTGTTATTATGGAAGTGGGAGGGAAATTGTCGTCGTGATGTCACTCATGCTAACGCAAACATAGATGCATGCCCGTACGCCCGTTGAGGTACGCAAGCACACTTACACACTCGTTCGCCTATCGGGGCTCACACAAACATAAACATATGTGAACAGTATGGGACTTGACATATGTATGTATACGTGTGTTGTTGTCTACATACATACGCATTTAATTGTTGAATTTCAATGATGGGATATGTATCCATTTCTCTCTTGAATGTGGCCATGTCAACAATCAGACCATTTCTCTATTTTTCCGCTGAATAATATTTCCTCGCATGCACGTATATACGTGTAGTGGGGTCTGAGTAAAATTATGATAGGTAAAAATTGCTATTATTTTTTTTATTTTTTAATGTTGATTTGTTGTTATTTTAAAGCTGGTTATTTGCTTGTTTTTGATGCGTATATGTAATTGGTAGAAATTGCAGTTCGTAATCCTTATTGGTTTTTATTTGTTGGTGCTAAATTTGCTGGGGGGAGGGAGGAGTAATTTACGTTAATAATCATAGCAGACTAACATGGTAAGGGTAGTGGTATTTACTCATTCCCCCACGAGAATGAGATGTGACACAATGTCGGATTAATGTGGGGACCCGAGCACGTACACACGGGCAGGGACAAAAATTCCCCTTAGCCCCCGCAACCGTCGGTTGCGCTGGCCTCGATGCGAGCACCGATCCCTCCCTCTGGTGCAATGGGAGGGCGCGGCCTCGGGCAGCTGTTCCCCAGGGCTGGGCACCTCTCAGTATAATTTTCCTCAGTTGCCCTCTGTCCTCAGACAGAGACGCCCCTGGGTGCACTCTGTCCAAGGACAGAGACGCAACTGAAAGATGATAAGAAAATGTGAAATTACCCCAAAAGAGGAATTTACACAGTACTGGTAAGGGTAGTTGGGATGTGGTAGCAATGGTGTTGGGGGGTTTGTGGTAATAATAATTTTAGTAGCTAATAGATATTGTAAAGTGGCAGAAGTGATTAGTAAAGGTGGTGGGATGATAATAACAATAAATGTAATTATTGTGATGGTAGCTTGAACTAGAGAGTGATTGGTAGTGTCTTTTTTTAATCCGTTTGGTATAAATTCTGCTAATAGGTATTTATTTTCATTCCTACATTTGGAAATTATCTCTGATCTTTGGTTTAGTAAATTCTTTTGCGGGGTATGGGATATTATTGCTACTTTTTCGAGTAGGCAAAGTAGGCATTTTTTTGTAATGTTGCTATAGGCAGGTGCTCTTTTCAATATTTTTCAGCTTATTCTTGGTGTGATGTTTCTGTCTTTTAGATGCCATATGTATGTGGATAGTATAGTGCTGTTCAAGTATTTTCTGTTGGTGAATGAAATGTGGTGGTTGTTTTTTCTCTTCTTGAATGGAGCCTCAGTGGCACCGATGTAGTACATTGTGCTGTTGTTTGCACTTACCTTGGCTTTATATATTGTATTTGTGTTATGGTCCAGGTCCTTGTACCACGGTAATGGCCCAAGGTAGAACCAATAAAGAAGAACACGAACACGGAGATGGAATAACACAGATATATTACAAACAGGAATATATACCGAGAAGTAGAAAGTGTTAGTACGAACAATCAGGTTTAATAGGGAGAACAATGTAGTCTCGACCAGTAATCACTATTCCAATGTCTTGTAGTAATTGTCTGAACGCGACTCTGTTTCGGACTGCCTCTGACTCGACTCTTGACTCGACTGACTGACTCGCTCGCTCTGACTGACTGACAGACTCCTGACGGACCTCACTCCAGACTTCAGACTGAACAGTATTTAGTCACCCCACTCCACGAGGGGGTGACTAAATCATGTATCATGTGGCACAAGGCCGGTTTAACGTGGGATCTCCGAGCCCCTGGGCTCGGCCAAAAATATGCCCTTTGAACCCGTATAAACGGGTTCAGGGTCGGTTTACCTCCCCGAAAGCGAACCCGCCCTTCGGCGTAGCCTTGTTCGGGTTCCTCCCCGCCCGAAGGCAGAGAGTTCAATCGATCAGCCGGTCAGCCGGTCGCTCACTTCGGGCTGAACTCCCTGCTTCCTCTTGAGGCGCAGTATTTATTACGTATGGAATAGTCCATTATGTTATTATGGGTAAGGTCCCATAACAATTTGTATGTTGGCAATTTCCCTGGAGTGGACATGTTGTTCTATTTCTGCAGTTGCCTTTTAGATCCTTGGTTTCATTTTTGTAGGTTGTCATTTTTTGTTGTGGCTTTTTATTATTGCTGTTATATTCTTTGTGCAGCTGTAACTGATTTTAACATTATTTTTATTGAACATTTTTGCTAATCGGTTTGATTCATATACGAATTAAGAATTATCTCATGAGAGTTATCTTCTCCTGGTATGGATCGTCAAATAATAATCTCTATCGTTGTGGCTATAATGATGTAAGAATGCAAATAAATTGGTGCATAATACTGATTAAGACTAATACATTATTTCTTACTATTTACGACGGATTTATATTCAATTAAACTTAACACGATTTTTATAATCACCATTGGATTTTGTCCATTATTCATGTTGTTTAATCCTTTGAGCCTTGGCCACCGCTTTACCGGTGGTAGAAAAAATGACTTAATGCCCAGCCACCGGTTAAACGGTGGGTAAACACTTGTAACTATTTTTATATCTACTGTGAAACATTACATATCAATTATTGGCGAATTTTGACTCAAGAGCTCAGGCAGAACGGTTGAAATTGTTCAGGAACGGAGGAAGGGTTAATGTTTGCACATGAATTAACACAAAATGGATGCTGAAATCTTTTATGCTTGGGTCTAATAAATAGAAAAGAAAATACATTTCAATTGAACTACACTATTAGAATTGGTAGAATTCTTGAATACAGCATCAAATAAAGTATTTAATAACTCTTTTTACTTAAATGTAACCTTTTTGTGGGGTTTCTTAAGTCACACTAACGTCAATGGCTTACGGCCACATCACATTGAAACGCTGTTCCCGTACGAGCACCGAAGTTAAGCAATGGTGAGAATGGTCAGTACCTAGATGGGTGACCACTTGGGAATACCAGGTGCTTTAAACTTGGATGTGTGGTTAGTTGTGCAATGGATAATGGCTCGGAATCGTTAATCGGAGAGCTGAGTTTCAATTTCAAACGCCGAAATATTATTATTTCAAAAAAGATTGTTACAATCCTAAAATATTTTTGGGCTTTAAATAATAAGTTATGGGTTGATAAGTCTTAGAAAACGAAAAATGAATCAATCTGAAGTTAGTGGTGGAGTTGCCTCAGATTTAGTCCAATTTGAATACAGTTGCTCATATATAGAGGTACTTATGAATAAATGTTAATGTTGAGAATAAAAAATAGATTAAGAATCAGAAGCAAAAGTAATTTCGGGTAACTGTGCTGATAATGTCAGCTTCGAGCAACGTGTAAGAAACATGGAAATAGAAAGATTGAAGCAAAGGAGGATAATTCTAGGAAATATAATGAGGTAATATGGCTCAGAAAAGGGGACAAAATATCACAGAAAGGAATAAGCGACAAGATGAAAGTAGGCGGTAGATAAAATAAAAAGAAAGGATAACAGATGAAGCAAAAGGATGGTTGATTTATAGCAAACATAGTACGAAATGACCAAATAGAAGATGAAGATAGTATTAAATAGTAAAGATATAATATAGTTCCAGTAGGGTCTGGAAAAGTCTTTGTCTAGCATTATAATTGATGATAAGCTAAATTGCTTTACTAATTTCGCTTTTTGTTAGATTCCGAATTCTTTTCAATCCATTGAACTTTAAAAGTTCAAGATCACAGAAAAGCCCACGTTCAAGTAATAGATTCCATGAAGATATTGTAAATGGGTGAAAATGCCTTGAAAATCAGAATTTCTGATCCGGGCTCTTTACCTGCACTCGTACATTATATCTGGGATCAATGAAAAATACGCCAATGCTCCAGCCACGGAGTTGAAACGAAATCTTACTGCAGAATTTCAGTGTAAATTTAAAAGTGAAATGTCCAAAATATCACAGAAAATTAAATCATAGATACATTACTACACACACATAGGCATCTATAGATTGTATATAGATACAGCGATCAGTAACACTCAATCATCAACGTACGCAATGTATTTTAGACTTCAAAGTTCCTACATAATATCAGGATGCTTCGTCTACATGACATCAAAGAGGAAACGCTGCTTACTGTTTACATCTTTGTAGATATGTATACTAACTCAAATGTGACACAACTGGAGAGGAATTCTTTCGATGCGACTATTAAGCATTTTATAGATTACTGAATTTAAAATCGTTATCATTGGTCTGTAGTCAAAAGATTATTTCATTTGACCCTTTGTTTTCTCGTTTTCATATGTTCCGTCATTTTCATTCAGGAAACGTCCATTTTATATATATTCCAAACACCATCTACAAGTGTTGGAATCTGTATGTATTGAATTGCAGCAACTTTTTTTTCATTTTTATGTTTTTTATGTAAGCAGAAGAATTTTCTTCGGTTACTTCATTTATTTGGAGGATCGTGAGTATTAATTTTTTTTCATATTTTACACTCACACAGGAGTATTTACAACTTTTGAATTTACGTCTATTTTAATCGTTAATTTACATGTTTTAAACGTACTCCAAATCTTCCGCCATATTATCTATTCGTACCAATTTTGATACAATAATTTTGTCAACGTCGGTCCCTGAAGGAGTGTTGGCCGAAAGCCCCCTTGGTTAAAAAAAATTAAACATTATATATATATATATATATATATATATATATAAACAGACACTGTTTAGTGTTCATTTTTTTTATTACCACTTCATATCCTTCCCAACACCATTAGTCCTGCTTTTTACCATTGACATTGTTCTCATTATTATAATTATTATTTTATTTTTACTATTTTCACCATCATTTTTATGTTTACTATATCTGTTACCATAATTATATGTCATTATTGTCACATTTTTTTACCATTCAACATTAGAGGTAAATTTACCGTTAACAAACCAATCCTTAGTATTAGCAATTATATCAATTATTATCACTATCAATATAATTGCAAACGTCTACAACACACAAGCAATCAGTGTTAAAAAAATAAAACTATCATCACCGCCATATTCACATTCTTTTTCCTTTGTATGTGCCGTTTCCTTTCAGGATGTAGGCGATCATGGCTCTTCACTTCCACCTTCCTCTCAATAAGTTTCATTCTTCTGCCACCTCCCCTAGATCACATTCTGACATCCACTTGCTAAAGCCCGCCAGGTATGTCATACGTTGCTTTCCCTTGTCTCTCTTTCCCTTGTCTTTCTTTCCCTCTATTCGAGCTGTGAGTATCAAATTCTCCAGGCCCTCCTTTCTCATTACGTGCCCTAGAAACTTCAGCTGCCTCTTCCTGATGTTAAGTATAAGCTTCCTCTTTGTTTGAATCCTCTCCAAGACTTTATCGTTGCTCACACGCTCGGCCCATGATATCCTCAGCATCTTTTTGTAGAACCACATCTTTATTTGTGAGGAGACCGTACAACATTCTCTGTTGTAAAGGAGGACAGACGTCACGTAACAGCTCAGTATTTTGTCTTTGTAACCAAAGAGATCCCCCCTGTCACGCAATACCCTACACAGCTTTTGGAATGCATCCTTGACGATCCCAAATCGTCAACCGATCTCAACGTCGCACTTGCCGTCCTCTGTCAAAACACTTTCCAGATATTTAAACTTCCACACCTGTTTGATTTTAGTGCCCACGACCTGTAAATCGCCTTTATATCTTCAGTACTTGCGATGCAAAGGCTGAGTGGAAGAGAGAGAGAGAGAGAGAGAGAGAGAGAGGGAGGGAGGGAGTGAAAGAGAGAGAGAGAGAGGGAGTGAAAGAGAGAGAAGCAGACAGACTGACATTCTGGTCATTTGGAATAGTTAAAAAGAACTGGCTAATCTGAAAATGTCGATATCTTTTAACAATCCTGAACAGCGCAGATGTGCGCACTCAAGAAACAGAACTACAACGGCTTTACAATTAGACGTTTCCTCTTTGATGTCATGTAGACGAAGCATCCAGATATTATGTAGGAACTTTGAAGTCTAAAATACGTACGTATTTGAGCAACAGTGCGTACGTTGATGATTGAGTGTTACTGATCTCTGTATCTATATACAATCTATAGGGACCTATGTGTGTGTAGGGATGTATCAATGAATAAATATGCAAATATCGGTTTAAAAGTGTCTGCACTTTTGTAAGCGCACAAATATACGTTCTTGCATGCGTGCCCCCTCTCTCTCTCTCTCTCTCTATCTATCTATCTATCTATCTATCTATATATATATATATATATATATATATGTGTGTGTGTGTGTGTGTGTGTGTGTGTGTGTGATAATTGTATATTTAGGCAGCAATCCTTCCTTTATGCATGTTTCATTAAAAACGACAGACAAGGTACTACGGTTAAGCTTTTTATTTAATTTTTCTTGTTTTCTGACAAGAGCTTTCTTTTCTGGACAAAGGGTGTGTAAGAACTGTCCGAATCTTCTGTATTTCCGAGCGCTTTCGGCTATACTTTTAGCCATTATCAAGGATGATTCGATTTTCAGCTTCATTGAGTGTGTGCATTATGTGTATATCTTAGTGTGTGGTAGGGATGTTTTTAATTTCCGAATACGGTTAGCACATTGTGGCTTTGTTCGTAGTTAATATTGTTAAGAGTTGGCTTTTTCTTTTTTATTATTAAAACTTCCATTATTTTTAGTCTTTTTTTGCAGGTGGATGCAGTTAATATATTTGTGTTTTCTACTAGTATGTTCCTAATGGAGTCTGGTAAATTTGTATGTGTGTTTAAATGGGTTCTAGTGGAGCTGTGATCAGATAGGTGTAACGTATGAAACATGCATATATATATATATATATATATATATATATATATAGTGGAGGAAAACGAATATTCGTGCACATACAAATTTTTAATCTAAGGAATAAATATATTTTTCATATAACTAACTGTACACAGATGCATATACATAAAAAACAGGAGAAAATGAATCTAATAGAAATAAATACCATTTATCCATTTTAATGGGTGGAAAAAGTATTCGTACAATATAAATTTCAGATTTTAAGACATTTAAATTGCTTTAATACTCTACATTATTCAAGTGGAATATTCTAGAATGTTTCAATAATTTTATCAGTAAGCATTTTTTTAGCCTAAAAAATACAAACACAACATTCTGTAATTGATAAGAATGTTATCATCATGACAAGAGGGAAAGAATTGACAAATTCTTTACTACCTACAGTCGTAACACCGAAATAGGATCACAATTGTGTATGTATGTATGTATGTATGTATGTATGTATGTATGTATGCTCGAACACATGGATATATATCTGCGACTAATCTCGTATTGTTTATATATGTATGTTTGTGCGAACTATAATGCGTACATCTGTATGTATGTATGTCAGCGTGCGTATGAGTGTCAGCCCAAAACAGACACAGGGGAGATTCCCCTTTTATATATATATATATATAAATGTTATGAATTAAAACTACAGATTTAAAAAATACACACACAACTATGAAGTTACTTTATTTCAATGTTACTATTCAACTATTTTTTGCAGCTTATTTAGTAAAATATTAACGCTATACCATTAATATTTACACACACACACACACACACACACACACACACACACACACACACACACACACACACATATCCCTGCTAGAGGGCAACCGGATGTCTAGCCACACTGATGATCTGTGATACAGCGAAACAGTCTGTCTGTGGATGACAATATATTTATTTATATATATATATATATATATATATATATATATATATATATATATATATATATATATATATACCGTGACAATATTACGCGGCAGTTAAGAATCACTGGCTTAGAAAATTACTTTGTTTATCTTTGGATACGAAACAAATAGGAAAATTTCGAGGAATTTTATGGATTTCGCTTAAAGGCATGATTCAAACTTCATCTGATCGGCAAGGCTGTTCTCTGGCCGAATCGGTTAAGTCACGT